TGAATAATCTTAGATGATTGAACATAATGTTTTAAGAGGTAGAAACCAACTTGTCACCTTCATATGATAAGAATAAAATTACAACTTGCTAAATTATCAGACTTTGATGGTTATCAAAATCAAATGATTCTCAAGTGATGGATTTAAACTAAGGAGATGATGCTTCACTTATGATCAAGTCCATAATTAATGATGATCTGACTACTTTTAATCAGAATCCATATCACCTAATTAATTTTCTAACATTTGTCAATCTTTCTCCCATTAGATTCATAAAGGGCATGGGTAGTGATATAGGCTTGATCTTAAAACTTGTTTGATGGGATTTAAAGGATAATATGACTAATGATTAGCACTACAAGCCCAACTTTAGTGGTGGGTACAAAGGTCTTTAATGACTGAAACTTGCATTAGGGGCATTCAACTACATAACATTTAAGTGAAATATCAATTAATTAATTGAGTACCCTGCCCTCGGGATGATTAAAATGTAAAAGTTTACCGAGTAATGGGGTAATTTTAATTTGATCTGGGATGATTATTAGAAGAATATAATAAGTTTGAAATGAACTCAAATGTTTCAAAGGAACTTTAAAGCAGTTCAGGGTCATTCCCCAAACACTTTAGAATCTCTTGGATATTTTGAAGGACAAATTGAACTTGATGTATTTTATTCTAAAATCATCCATTAAGATCTTTCAAGACTCAATAAGTCAATTTGGAGTTTGTTAGATACACCTTCATTTACTCTTGCAATTTATTCAAATTTCTACAAAATTATATACATGTTGCAGAAGCTAATCTTTTAGCTGGAATACCAAGAAGATGACAGGTACACTTTTATAGTGTTATTTAATTCCTGTCGTTTTATTTTTGTCGCAAAATATCATAACTGCTTGGGTGTGTACTCTACTTTTCTTGCAAAATCAAAACAAAATTTTCAAAAATTAATCAACATTTTCAAAACTTAAAACAAATTGTTTTAAAGGTAACCATAAATCCTTTGAAATTTCACTAAACATAAAACCTTCTTTTGAATTTACAGGAGTCCCTCAAAGGAGGTAACCCACAATTGCTAACGAGATCTCCCCAATTTAAATGGGTTTCATAACTCGTTTAAGCTAAGTAGATTCAAAAGAAAATAGTGATACCGGAACGAGGAAACCATGAGACCTAACTGGTGTCACTCTAATCAACTTTAACCCCCCACATAATATTTAAATAACCATAATCTTAGATTCAAAAGAAAATAGTGATACCGGAACGAGGAAACCATGAGACCTAACTGGTGTCACTCTAATCAACTTTAACCCCCCACATAATATTTAAATAACCATAATCTTAGGAAAAATTTGATTTGACATTATAACTTGACACATTAGAAAACTTAAACTTGCTATGATAAGGAGCCTGGAGCTAATATTGTGAGCAGCACGACCACTTCAACAGCAAAACATGTCTACACCAGTTAAACCATTCATTAGAGTTCAACAACAAGTCATAGGACTTCGAGGTTGTCCGCTTACAACGACATAAATTCTCAACCTATCTTTAGGCCTTTGTATAACCCTATTATACAATTTAAGCCCTAAACTGTTTTAGGATTCTGAGGTTATCGTTTGTCACGACCTAAATCCTCACATCTTTCATGTCACTTTTGTGATCATTTCACACAAATGTAAGCCCTAATTAATAAAATTGACAGGATTAAATATTTAATATTTCTCCTCTAAATTAAAGCCAAATAGTAGGATAGTTTGGAAAATCACCGAGGTTCTCATCAGGATCTGTGGCTTCCTCTAGTTATTCTTCCTTTGGATTCCAAAAATAAAATGTTACAAACTTGAGTCATTCTCATTTCACACATCTTTGTCTGATCTCATTGAAAAGTCCTATCCTTTGAACTTGTCGAGAGTTTTCTTAGATGACTTCGGTTATCCAGATAAAGTCTTATCCTTTGAACTAGTCCAAAAATAAAATGTTACTTCTTGAAGATAATATCCCCTGATTCTTATCGAGAGTTTTCTTAGGTGACTTCGATTATCCAAGATGTAATTAACTATAGGAGCTTGCCCTTATAGAAAGTTTTTCCAAATTCAGCTTAATATAAACTCTATTTAATTTTCCATATTAAATAGGGGAACTTGTCAGCTTATAATAAAATAGTTTCGCAGACCAAACGGATTTCATACATTTCTTAGTTTATTTGATTGAGCCTCACCGTCAAGCCATGTGTCTATCTTTCGAGATGGATATATAGCTTGAGGTGTGGGCGCTCTTTCATTTAAAATATGACAGATATGAGATCAGTTTGATTTCATATTTTTTTTAAATTAAAATTATATATATGTAAATTAAATGTTCATCCGAAGCGGGTGACGGGATTCCGATTCCGGCGGCCGACAGCTTCCAAGGACCCCCTATAAAATAGGGCCGACAAACATGAATAATAATATTTTTTAACGAGTCTAACATAACGACCCCCGGCTCCCCCCAATCTCGGCCAATTTACAACACAACGACGCTCATTAGGGGTGTAAACGAGCCAAACACGATCGAGCGCAGGCCCATCTCGTGCTTGGCTTGTTAAATAAAGGCACTGTTTGTGTTCGACTCGTTTATATTTCTTAAAAAAATTGCTCTTGTTGGACTTGTTTGCTTAGCTAGCTGAACACGAGCTGTTTGCGAATAAGGAATCGTTTTGACAACCTTAGTTTCACATATAGTCATTAGGGTCTGTAAACGAGCTGAACGAGAGCAAGCCTAGGCTCAAATTGTTAAAAAATATCATTATTTGTGCTCTACTCATTTATATATTGAACTCAAAAAATTTGTTCATATTTAACTCTTTTATTTATCCAGCCGAACACGAGCTGTTCACAAAGAAGTTGTAGAATATCAAGGGTTGGACAAGATTTAAATCACTTTTTTTTATATTAAAATATTCATTTAAATAAAAATTAATATATTTTTATTTTATTTTTAATTAATAAATTTAATTGATTATAATTTTATACAATCTTGTAGTCACTTAAATTAATTTAAGAAAATACTAATCACACACAAAACAAATAATATTAGGCTTCGTTTGGGATCGCGACATGAGTGCATCACTACCCGCCCCCGCGAATTTCTATCGTTTGGCGGGGCGTCTCCCTCGCCAACGTGACGTGCAGGATGGATCCCGTGGCACAACTTTCTCGACCGACTTTTTACACATTACCCCTCATCGAGCTTCCCCCCTCCCTCCTTCGTCTTCTCCTCCTTGTTCGTTCGACTTGTTATGCGAAGGCAAGCGCTGCGATCCTCCCCCTCCCTCCTTCGTCTTCTCTGACGTTGCCCACGTTCTCGGTTCGTCTTCCTCCTCTTCGTCATCGTCTTCAAGCTCTAGTCAGGTTCGTCTTCCTCCTTCGCCATCGTCCTCTTCTTTTCCTTCATCTTCCTAATCTTTTCTTCGCCGAGAAATGTAGTTTAATTGCTCACAGTTTGTCTCTTCTTTTCTTTTGATTTTTGCAGTTTATTGCCAACCCAGGTATTTTTGCGTTAGGCAACTATATCCTCTGCACACCAGGTTCATCTTGCAAGCAGAACACGCGACCATTACAGTACTTAATGTGTTCAGCTTCCTCTACAAACACAGCGCTAACACGTTAGTTATTAGTAGTTGCAAGACCAAATTTTATTTAATCGATTATAAAAGTTTGATGAAACAATTTTTTAAAGACTTTTTTAATCTACAAACACATGCTTAAAAAGTGTTTATAATTAATCAGAACTTTTAAGGGTTAAAGTTGAAGGGCCAAAAAAGATTATCCAAGAATTAGTGAATTTTACCTATATATATACCAAATATTTGAATTTGGCTTTATAAGATATTTCATTTTCCTGCTTGATTTCATTCATTTATTTTCAGTGGAAATTTAGCAAAGAAGCTTCTGAAGTATCAAATTGATGATTGTTAGAGTTCTGTTTTAAACATTTTTAATAAACAGAGGCATAATGATAAATCTTCCATAAACAACTCTCTCACATCTGTTTTCACGGAATTGCAACAAACAGACAACCAATTTTCCCTGCTTCTTGGGGTAGCTAAACTGCAGCTGCACCAAACAAACTTATAGTAGAATATAAAGCAACTGCTAAGTTCTGATTAATCAACATCCAAATAGTATATGCGAGATTTACAGTGGTCTTACCTGTTTCATCAATCACAGTAGGTGCAGGAGGTTGCAAGGTACCATCAAGAAAGCCCAAAAATCCATTGGCTTTAGTTATCTTAATGATTTGCGAACGCCAGAGTCGTTAATTATCAGAGGTTACGGCATTTTTCACCATTGACTTGAGATTCATCATGAGAAACTTCAAAGAAGGCGGGATAGGATTTTCGGCAATACGCAAGGAGGCCAAGCCTTCGTGAGTTCGAGAAGATACGAAATCGTCCATGACTGCTAAGCCTTGAGAAGTTCTGATACCATGAAATCTTGCAAACTGAGGAAGAAGACAAATGCGAGAGAACAGGGAAGAAAAGGTTTAATAGAAGAGAGAATAACTTGATCCATTAATATTAATTAGTCTAATAAAAAACAGAGACAAATCTCTATATACTTGTATAACAAGTATATACTAGGCAGGAAATGCAAGGTTCAGGCCACATACGCAAAATAGAAGGTGGACCCCACTTAAGTAAATTTAAAAAGTCCTACCACTCAAATTCTTATGTATTTACATATCTAATACCAAAATTTTACAGTCTTACATTTAAATCATCTAAATCTTTTGTATCAAGTTAGAAAAAAACATGACTATTTTAACTAAAGAAAAGGAAATATTGCTTTATAAAAATTTAAATTTAGGTGTTAAATATGTAAATATATATGAATTAAGTTGTATGTACGAAAATCTTTTAAATTAAAATTATTTTTATATAATTTAAATATGTAAGAATGGCACAATAATGCTATCTTTTGAGCAATATAAAAATTCAACGGACATCAGCTTAACAAGGCCGGGTATTGACGCGTGTAGAAGTCCGAATGTACCAGCTCCTCCTCGTGGATCGATCTGCCATGGCGGCTCCATATACCCGAAGGTTAAAAGGGAAAGCCACGGCTGGGCGGCTTCTAGAGGACGACCAGGATGAGCCTTTTCCTATTTAATTTTTCCTTTCTTACACGTTGATGTTCTCTTTGCCTGCAATCTCTATTCGTCCCTTTCATCTGCCAACGCTTCTTAGACGAGGTGAGTCAGTCTTGTAAGGTTGAAGAAGCCTCTCCATTACTGAAATCTGATTGCCTTTTTGTTGTTCTTATTTTTGTTGTATATTTTAATTTGGCGTAAATCATAAGACAAGGTATAGGGTTTACAGTTCTGTTCAATTAGTTTGCTTTTGATTAGGAATTTGTCGTATGTTTTTCATCGATGCTTGTTTTGTGGTTTCATATGAGATTGATCTTCCGTTTGAGTAAAACATTTTTGATGTTTTGAGTCCTGAGCTTGTAATTTGGTTTTCACTTACCATTTTAGTTATACTCGTAAGTAGTGAATAGAGGGAAAATCCAAATTGGATAGGCAACCTGTTCTACAAGAGGTATAATTACAAAGCGTTTCTTTATTCTTTAAATTTTCTTACGCAGCCTTGTATGTAGAGTGTAGAGTCTGTGGCAAATTGGACAAAATTGTAAGGGTAAATGACTTTTTGTTGTTATATTGTAATCGATTTTCTCTTGAATTAAAGAAAGAAAAAGGACCGACCAACTTAGATACTGGTACTCAAAAATAGGTACTAAAAAATATGATAAAAGAGCTTTTGGTAAATGAGCTCAGTATTCTATATCCATGATAGTTGGCTTAAAATGTAAATTGAAGTTTCTTTAATTCCAATTTTTGTGCGGGTAATACAAAAATAATACTACTAATGTCTGATTAAAAGTGATAACATCTTATGAAAACCTTAAAAGTTTTATACAGAAAAAAAAGGGGGACAATTGTCATATACGTAGGAGAATGATTTTTTTCTCCTGAAACTTCTAAAAGAATTGATGCAATATCCCCTGACCGTTGACCTTAGCGCACTTCAGAGCCAATTAATGAAATTTTTTTCCTTGTAGTTTATCATCCCATAGGAAAAAAATTGCATATGTCCAGCGTACGTAGCGCTGCGTTCATTATCCAATGGGAGCACGACATATCAGCAAAACCGGTCCTACCACATAGATTTTAAATATTCCCCGCGTGACCCGTTGACCTGACCCGCGCGGTATATATGGGGGTAATACATGAGCAATAACCGCCCCGTAACCGTTTTGTAACCGCCCGGTTGGATGCCGTGGTACAACCCCAATAACCAACCTGTAACTCTGAGAAACCGTGGACCCTCTGTACCGCGGCTGTGTAACTGCGCGGTAACTTTCGGACGATATGAACCGCGCATGTAACGTTGCGGTAACCTCCAAAGCCCCGTACCGTGACTTTGTAACTTTGTGGTAACCTCCGGACCAAATGCACCGATTATGCAACGTTGCGGTAACCTCGATAACCTACGTACCGTCTTAGTAATTCCTAGTAACCATCGTGTAACCTTCGCTTAACGCCCGTAAAATGTACTGCTCAAATACCCATGGTAAAAATTTAGACAGTAAAAATTCTTTTTCGAAACAAGATTGATGTTTTCGTTCGCGCCTTGGGTTGTCTTGCCTTCTTCTTGAACGTTAAGGTACTGTTTAGGGTTTCACATTTGTATTCTGAAGCAAGATTAAAATGGAGGACATCGATAAGACCACGACCGTGTTGGAAGAGGCGAATGTTGCGCAGTTTGACGAGGCGGAGAAGTTGGACGTGGAAGAGGTATTATGGTCTTGCCGAGGTGAATTCAATAATTTTTTACATAAATTAGTATTATGGTCATGCTATACATTGACCTTGATTGTCTGTAATTTTTTGTAGGTCTATGATTTTTTTCTTGATGTAAAAGAAAGTGAACATCGCTTACTTGCTACTTTCCTTGAAGAGCCCTTCAGTCCTGCAAAGCTTCTCCCACAGGGGAGACCCATTCCATACCACAGCACCCATGTTGATTGAGATATCTCCTATAGTACCTTATCATATCAGTTCTCAACCAACCGACAATCATATATTTGAACAGACGAGCCAAAGACTTGAGTTTGAAGAGATTCATGAATTATTGAAAGATCAACAAAAAATTATATTGGATTTTCAAGTCTCTGTTGACAGTCGTTTAACGCGTTTAAAGAATACAGTTTTGGACTTTCAAGGCTTTGTTGAAAGTTGTTTGACAAAGTTAGAGAATACGGTGAAAGTCTTAAAGTGTCTTGTCGTGAATGTAAAAAAAAACAATAAAATAATTAGATGAGGAATTAACGAGAAGATGGGTCAAAGAGTCCCCACAAAGAAGCTTGATCCAAAGGATTAAGGAGAGTAAATAGAATAAAAATGACTCTTAGTTCCCCATATGTTGTTTTCGAAAGAAAGAGAAAAAAACCAATAAAGGAACCGGTTGAAATTGTACAGGAAGAGGAAGCGGGTATAAACTAGCAACTCAGATCTCCCCAACAAGAGATTACAATTGTACATAAAGAGAAAGAGGAGTACCAACCAGTCCCTCATTATGTTAGTGAGGACTACCCAAACAAAGTATGAAATGTTTTCTTCTAGTATTTAAATATGAGCATTAAATATTCAGATTTTGCTTATCTTACAGGTCCAGCCAGTATCTCAGGTGATCGATTTTCCTGCTAGAGATGAAATTCCAGATTATATGCGAGAAACAATCGATATATGTTGTAGAAAATTCACGAACTTGTTAGTTCACCTAATTTTTTGGGTGTTCTACATTAATTTTGCAATTGTAAACTGAAGTAATTTTATATTTCAAATGCAGAGGTGAACTGTTAATTGATATGAGATATGTTTTAGTGTCGCGACTTTATCTTGATGAATTCTTGGGAAACGGTTGGTTAGACAATGAACAAGTTGATTGTTTTGCCATGTTGATGGAGAATAAGCGGTGTAACGCACCACTCTGTATAGATCATGCCTGTATATATCTCCATGTCACTGGATAAATTTTAAAAATTTAACATTTTGTTGTTTGCATTCACACAAATCTAACATGACCATATTTTGAATGTCATCTTGTTCTTCTTGATGTAGTTGTATAGATAATGTAACGTTAAACCCTTTGTCGCACATATTACAAAAGATTAAATCCAGAAGACAGAGTTATTACTGATACTTATAATAAACAACAACATTGAATATTTTTTGTTGGGGCACTAACAGAGGGGAAACTGAGAGTTTATGACATCTTACCTAACATAATGCATTTGCATATCACTCAAAGTATTGTAAGACCTCACACGAGATCATTAACTATTGTCAGATTGAAATATTTATTTATTGACTTAACTCTAAGTATATAGATTGAACATTTTTTAAAAGATGCCGGGAAAGTTTTTCAGGTTAATTTGAAGAAGTGGCCAGTTGTAATGGCCAGAGGAATTCCAGTAAAAAGTAACAATTTTCATTGCGGTGTTTTTGTCTGTAAATATATGAATACACGTGTACAAAAAGAGAAAGTCAATTGGGTGGAGAAAAAGGAGTGCAGGAATTGATCACATTATTCAGAGCAGAAATTGGATATGATATTTGTAAATTTGTTTTGTTAAAATCACAGTAGGTTTGGAAGAAAAACATTTATTGCAGCTTATACAAATTTTTTTACTGAAATTTAAAAATTAGATTGAACACAATTGGTATGTGACTTTTATCCGTGCCTCTTTATGAGATTTATAAATATCTCCATTTAGTTTCTAAGAATTTTATCTACTCGTGGCAGGTTACTTGATGAATGCATCGTCTCATTCCTTCTTGCCGTAGAGTTTTCTGAAATAGTTAATGTTAACTAGCTTTTTGATAGGAGGGTTTGCTTAGAATTTAATATTGTTCATGCCTTTTAGCTTTGCAATTAGGTTGTTTGTTTAATTTATTTTCCTTTGTGCAACAGATTGTTACTTAGAAGTGATGTTCTAAAAGTGTCTGAGCTGGCTTTTTACTTCAGCAGACTGATTGTATGGAGGCTAATATGCATTGAAGTTGATGATCTAAAAGTGCTGGAGCTGGAAAACTTTAGAGAGGGAACCAAGAAATGTTGTGTGGTGTTGTACATGAAAGTGGGCTTACTGATTGTGGATATCTTTTGTGATATTTTTTGTGATGTTGTTTCTACATTTGTTATGTATTACATGATTTTTGATATGGGTTGATTGATTTTGAAGCATATTGTTTGTGGTCAGATGAGAGAATTGCATATTGCCAACAAGTTAAGGGCAATGGAGAAGTGACCAAGGTCAAGTACCAGTTTATTTCGAAGCAGAAAACATTCTGATTACAGATCTGGAGTGGAGGTTACATTTACTTTAAAAACATACTGATTATAAATGCCTCAATACAAATGCCTCAAATATCAGAACAATACAATTCGTCATCCACGCAACAAATGACTCAATACAAATCAGTCTGGTCACAACAAATGCTTCAGTAATATTGCTTACATCCTAATTAGAACCTGAGTGAAAAACAAAAAACATATTTGTAAAGCTTATTCATTAAAAACATCATGATTAAAGAATATGTCAAATTACTTACTGATCATATATTGAATCTGTCATCATGGCGGTGTACGATTCCCTGTATCGTGGAGGAAAGAAATTCTGCATTTGAAAGATAAAAAAATATTAAAATAACTTGCACAACACAAAAAGATTAGCACATGGTTATCATCATTTTGCATTATATATCAACTTGTGTTAGAAAATCAGGTAGTGAGAACATGCTTGGATCAGACTTTAAAGCATCTGGTTCTTGGCTAGTTGAAATTTCTATCGATTTACCTATTAAAGTGGTTATGGGTAAGAAACTTGTCATTAGCTAAAACATCTAAAATCAAATTTTTTTAACAAAATATACCTTTTGCTCTTTTCTTTCTCTCCTAATGACCTTTTAGCTTGGAATTAGATATTCCTTTAGGACGCATTTTGGCAAGATCATTCAGATTTGATTCGTTATTCACCGGATTTTTGTTTTTTTTTATTATTTTCGTGACTTTGAACCTATTCCTCTTATTATGTCATCAATACTCAACGATAATTTCTTCATTGAATCCTTAACGCACTACTCAGTCTCTGCATTTTTCTTTGCTTTATTAGTAATTTGATATGCCATTTTTTGCATATGTGTTTGAAATATTAGGTCTCTTTTACCATCATTTCACATTTGTGACTGTTGGAAATGCTTGCATCCATAACTGTTATACACATCTCCTTTTATATTTGTAGACCATCTCAATAGGAGATATTTATTTGGGATCTTCTTAATATGTAGAAAATTCAATACTCGTAGAGAGTGTGCACATAATAGTCCAATCATTTCGAACTTTCTGCAGCTATATTGAATCTCCGAACTGAAAGGGTCGAAATTTACAACCCAAGTTTTGTTTGTCATGTGACATCTAAATTCTTAATGAAAAATTCATTTTCATTGTTTACAGAGGCGTGTAATTGAAGATCACATGATCCATAAATAAACTCTTCTCCAAACATATTATAAAGCTCCCTTGAGTAAAATGTAGCTTCGTGCCTCAGTATTGGGCTGCTTTACGCAACTGGAGTGATCACAGATTGATCGCACTTGTAATCTTCATCCTTCTCGTTATGCCTCCATGTTCTCATGACATGTTCAAGGCCCAAAAAACAATCAGTAATAGAACTTGTGGGCTTAGCGACCCAATGACAAATATTATTTGTTGATTTACTTCTCTGGGTGGATAAAATTCTCATTTCAAATACATCCTTATTAAAAGCTGTAGCTCACTTATCTTTGATGTTGTACATCTCATCTAACCAAACGTTCTCCTGTAGATTACCAGTCTTAATCATCATTTTCCATGTATTATCAAATTTCTCTTCACTCGCATTTGCTCATACACTTATAAAAAAGATTAGTGACTATTTTATTCACCATTCTGCAGTGAATCTTTGTAGTTAATTTCTTATATATGTGCTACTGACATAATCTATGTCGTGTATTTGACAAAATTTGTTCTATGACTTTTCCCATTGTCTGATCTTGATCAGTGTATATTGTAATTGGATGATTATTCCTCGTAATACGGATAAAATTTTTAAAAAATTATTTAAACGACTCTGCCGTCTCCTCTAATAAAAATCCAATGCCAAAGAGAACATTTTGTCAATTGTGGTTAACACCAACAAAATGAGCACAACACAAGTTATATTTATTTAATCTGCAGCAAGTATAAAAAATAATAACATCACCAAAGCAATTATAACCATGTTTGGACGTGCCGTTACTCTAAAAAAAAAACTCATTAGTTTACCACTCTCATCAATTTCGAAGTCCCACTCAAACATGCTATCCTTAACACGTCTCTCTGTGAACAATTACAACAAAATATTGGCATCTCCATTTTCAATTCTACATCTCTTCTTTCTATGAATGAAATTGAAGGCAGCTATCTTAGTACACTCTAGGTTCTCTACTCCCCCAACGTTTATGGCTAGAAAGTTAAACGCTTCTCTAGGTCTTATCCCTGACTGTGTCATCGATCTAAGCACATCTACATTGACTTGCTAATGAATGGTTATGAGATTCAATGAATTTTTGAACTGCCTAATTGCCTTCAACATCAATTGCATATCGAATATTGTCGAACAACCGCTTCTTGTGTCCGCTCTTTTGTACTTAACTATTTCTGTGACTTTCAGCTTTTTCTTAAATCCTGCTTTTTCACATACAAAGTCCTTCGTCTTAAGATTCCTGGAGTTAGGCCAGAAAGTGTCGCGTTTCTTACGAACACTGAATTCGATATGATGAGCGGAAGCATATTATTTTTTTTAAGCTTCTTTCTCATTGTGGACCACCGTTTGAAGTAAAATATTTACAGTTTGCTCCGTACATTTAATTTCACTTTCATCAAAATGCACAAAATAGAAAATTATATTAAACTCAATAATAGGTGCACAAACAAACAACCCTAAAAAGAACACCCAACAAATAAGAACACTATATTATTGTAAACCCAACAAATAAGAACACCCTAAAAACAAACAACATTTTAATAAAAACTGAAGAAATGTGTACCAGTTAAACCTCGAAACACACTAAGGAAAACACCAAGAAACACAACAACAAACACACCAAGGAAAACACTAAAGAAACACATAAACAAAGATATACGAGCGGACAAACATAAAGAAAATTGTCAAAAAAAAAGCAACCGAACTACAAACATACAACTAATACACAAACACACCTCAACTTTAACATCAACTTCTTTGTTGGCCGGATATGTTTCTTCTCCTTCCTCGTCAAACATGAAATGTCAGCGTAGTCCATCTTTAACATCAAAATAGTGTCGGATTGGCAATAAAACAGTAAACCATAGCTGCTTAAATAACAACATTCGTGCGCTATGATTTTTGAAGAAGGTTATCAAGCTCTGTGAATTGACGAAAGGTTCTCAGAGATTATCGCAAAGTTACAAAGCCGTGGTAGAGGGCTTTGGAGGTTACCACAATGTTATACGCACGATACATATCGTACGGAGGTTACCTCGCAGTTACACAACCGCGGTACAGAGGGTCCATGGTTTCTCTTGAGTTACAGGTTGGTTGTTGGGGTTGTATCACGGCATTCAAGCAAGCGGTTACTGCTCGGTTATTGTATGTGTATTGAATCGGTATTACCCCCATATGTACGGCGCGGGCCGCGTCGACGGGTCACGCGGGGAATATTTAAAAACTATGCGTTGGGACCGGTTTTATTGATGTGTCGTGCTCCGATTGGATGACGCATGTACAGAGGGTCCACGGTTTCTCTTGAGTTACAGGTCGGTTATTGGGGTTGTACCACGGCATCCAAGCAAGCGGTTACTGCTCGGTTATTGTATGTGTATCGAATCGGTATTACCCCCAGACAGGTCACGCGGGGAATATTTAAAATCTATGTGGTGAGACTGGTTTTATTGATGTGTCGTGCTCCGATTGGATGACTTACGCAGCGCTGCGTACGCTGGACGTATGCAAATTTTTTCCCATCCCATAACACCCTCCTTTGAGAATGAACCCCTAAAAAAGGAATGCTGCTACAGGTGCCTTGGTCTCATTCAGGAAAATCAAACATGAATGCCATTGAATTAGTCCTAATATAAACTATTTCAACATTGACTTTTGCTTTAAAAAATTATGTGGAACTAGTCCATTTTTTAGAATTACATGTCTTTAGAGTTATTTTTTCAGATTCCTGTAATTTGATGATTTCTAATTCGCTCCGCAATTTTTGCTTGGCGTAATGGATCGAACCGACATTTAAAGCTTATTACACTTCCAGTTTTTATTGCTTTCACAAAACAAGTCTATCAGTATTTGAAGAATTTTGTAGTTTTCCTGAATATTATTATACATTTAAGTTGGAACAATGCAAATCCTTGTGGTTACTTGTGAATATAAATAGCTAGTCGTTTTTGGCTATCTTATAATTTCAAACCGATTTTCAATTGTTTTGAAACCCTTTTTCTTAGAAGTTAAAATTTCTTGCTTTCCTTTACTAATTAAAGATTTATTTCTGCAAATATTTTAATGTCACAAAAATTTAACGTTTATGTTACATGAACATGTGTTAGCATATATGCTTAGAAAACATAATTCACAAACAGGAGAGATTATAGATATCATTATTCTAGTCTTATTTTCCCCACATGTTTCAGTTATATTCTATTTTGCATAATAATACTTTGTTGTTGCTTGATGTAACGATGGTGATTTTATACTTCATGTCAATCTTAGTAATAGGATGAAACTGTGCACAATTAATGACATGCTCGCTTTAGAAATGAATCATTATTATCATCTTAATACTTTATTTGTTTTAATAAACATCTTTGTTAGCTTTCAACTAGCTACTGCTGTTCTGATTTTCAAGTTATGGACTCTTAGCAGACCCATCAATGTCTTCTAGATTTGCGCACGATGTATTGTCAGAGGCTGGTGCTTTCGTCCGTGCACCTTCAAGTTTTCGTAATTTTATTTCAAAAAATCAAGCTTCTCAATTCCCTGCAGAATCAGGAAGATACCATCTATATATATCTTATGCATGCCCTTGGGCTTCTAGATGTCTGTCATTTTTAAAACTCAAAGGACTAGATAAGGCAATCAGTTACACGGTGACTTTTCCTCTCTGCGACTCTTTTAAGATTTTTTCATACATTCATCTCTGTCATTACATCTTAAGACCTTATATATATACAATTCATCATTTAGGCAGTGAAATCAATATTGGAAAGGACCAAAGAGACTGATGAGCATTTTGGGTGGGTCTTTCCTGCTTCTAGCACAGAAGAAGCTGGGGCTGAACCTGATCATTTGAATGGTGCCAGGAGTATCAGGGAACTTTATGAGCTTGCAAACCCGAATTATTCAGGAAGATATACTGTTCCTGTATGTGCATGATATTTTTGTTTCTTGTTCTTTTGAGTCTATTCCACCAAGATTTCTTATTTTTTTTGCTTGAGACACTATTGAGTTAGTTTTATAATTATGTAACAGGTTCTTTGGGATAAAAAACTCAAAACAATTGTAAATAATGAAAGTTCAGAAATAATACGAATGTTCAACACAGAGTTCAATGATATAGCTGAAAATGCTGACTTAAACTTATATCCCTCTCACCTACAAGCAGCCATTGATGAGGTCAATGAATTGGTTTATAACACCATTAACAATGGTGTTTATAAGTGTGGGTTTGCTACAAAACAAGGTCCTTATGACGAGGTAATGATTTTCTTATCATATTAAATTAAATTTGGGTGTTCTTCTGACTTTTATGTTGCCCTTTCACTTAGGCTGTAGTGAAGTTATATAATGCCTTGGACAAATGTGAGGAGATACTGAGCAGGCAACGCTATATTTGTGGGAATGAATTGACGGAAGCTGATATTCGACTTTTTGTAACTCTGATAAGGTTTGATGAGGTATGGATCTTCATGGATGTAGGGCACAAGATTTCGTTATTGAAAGTGGCAAAAGCATGGCTTACTAATTTTTTAGTATGTCAGACCATATTATTATTTGTTAATGCCATGCAGTGGAGAACTACATGATGAAATTGGAGTTTCATTGAACTTGTTTTATAACTGGTCCTGCAAATTTTGTTTTGTATTGAACATAGATGTACTGGAAAGGGGTTATATAAAAAAATGTTCAGCAGCCTTTTAAAATATTAATGCATATAAAGCAGTTTATTGCAATAATTAGCAAATTTATATAATTTTTTTTCTTTTTAATGATATCATCAATTGATATATGTATAATGTAAATCTATTACGATTGCTATCAATAATTTGATCTTTTGGATTAAATTCCATTATTTTATTAATTTAATGAAAACTGCAGGATCATTTAAATGGATTGTGCCAGTTTTGTTCTCAAATTAGCAGGTCAATAGTTGTGGCATCGAGTAGGCTTACTTATCGCTCGTTTATAGTTTGAATGTTATAACCAAATTTCTTTTATTATAACATCTTGGCTTACTCTCTTAAGAGCAATTCTAGTCCTGGATAGACATGTTCTTTAAGTGAAAGTTTGTTGTTTATGTCATTTGCTCTTTCTTTTGTCTGATTTGAGTGTTGGATAACTAAAAAATCTTAGCTCAAATTAGTGTTGTAGAATTGAGTATGTTAAGATATATGTATGAATTTAACTAAAAGTATGAATTTATTTTTGATAATATTAGAGCATTGTGGTTGGAGAGGAAAGATATGGTAATGAATAGAGATAGCTGGTTTTTAAATATCTAGCAAATAATAGGAATTGTACTATTAGACAAGTAGATAAAATTTATGTTGGAGGATACGAAAGCGAAGCCCAAACACAAATTACATGAAGAGAGATGTCCAAAATGATTCAGGAGGAATAGTGTCAATGTTAAGAAAGACAAATGTAGACCAAAAAATACTTGGGCATATTGTATAAAAAATAATCTTAGTATATTAAAATTAAATAAAAATATTGCACTCAATAGGACAATAGAGAAAAATGATTCATGTTACTGACCCCACTTAGTGGGATAAAGTCTTGTTGTTGTTGTTGTAGTGTCAACAGTTCACTACAGGAAGATACAGAAGTGCAAAAGGAATAACAGAGTTTGGAAAACAAAAGGCTGTTGTATAATTCAGCCTTACCTTTCATATGAAACAACTTGGTATTTAATACAAGAGAGAAGAATGTAGAAGTTAGAACCAAACCTGTATAGCAACAGAGACAGTTATGAAGGTAAATGATATTAAACCATTTGTTATAATCAGAAGGTGCAATTTTATCTAGTGGAGTTGAGAGGTAACATATAACCGAAAGCTTAGTTAATTGCAACATCTTCTATATACTTGTCACCTTCCCTCAAAGTGATAAGGCCAATCTTGGACTGTAAGCTTGCTACAAAGATACTGAGACTGATAGATTAGAAGGGATTTAATAAAGATATCCAATATTTGATCTTGGGTGGTAATATGATGAATACTAGTCTCATTAGACTTGATGCAATTTCGAATAAAATGAGCGTCAATGACAATGTGCTTGGTGTGAGAGTGGAAAATAGGACTGTTTGCTAAAGCTAAAGCATAGATATTGGCACTAAACAACACAGTAGGTTCAGAGACAAGAATGTTACGAAGAAGGCTTCTTAAGCAAATATATCAGTTGCAGCAGTAGCAAGAGCTCTATAGTCAGCTTCTGTAGATGAACAGGCCACCGTTCACTTCTTTTTAACACCCTAGACAATAAGAGTTTTACTTAGGAAAGAGCAACAACCAATAGTGGATTTTCTATTGAAAATATCACCAGCCCAATCAAAATCTGAAATGATTGCAAAATGAGAGGAGAAGCATAGATAGGTAAACCATAATGGATAGTGCCCTAAATGTAAGGCAATAGATGTTTAAGAAGCTGGAAATGAGCTGTGTGCGGATTATGCACATATTGATAAAGTTTTTTTAAAACATATGCGATATCAGACCTCGTTAATGTGACAAATTGAAAAGAACCAACTAAGTGGCTATAGAAAGTAGGCTTCGAATGTAGTGCATTGTTCAGCTTCAACAAGTAATTTTGGAGTTGGAATAAGGACTGATTTACAATCAAGCATGCTACATCAGTTGAGAATCTTCTGAGCATAATGAGCTTTATTCAAATGTAACCCGTGAACATTGTGTTCCACGTGCATATCAAGAAAGTGGTGTATAGGACCGAGGTTTTTCATATGTAATGGATTTGTTAGTTTAGTGAGAATACCCTGTTTAATAATATTATTGCTGCCAGAATTTAAGATATCATCAATGTATACAATAATGTAAATAATCATGGAATTGACTTGATATATGAGGAGAGATCCATCTGCTTTGCTGATTTGAAACCCGAGTGTGTAGTTGGTCAACATGGCAAACCATTGACGCATTGCTTGTTTTAGTCCATAGAGGGCTTTGCGAAGCTTGCACACATGATTTGGATAGAGTATCGAGAAACCCATGTACTTGTTTCATATATACTGGTTCATCAAGATAACCATGCAAAAATGCATTTGAAACATCAAGTTAGAGTATGATCCAATTATTTGTAGTGACAACTATGAGAAAAATATGAAGAGTTTGAAATTTGGCAAACAGAATAATTTTTTCAGTATAATCTATTCCTTATTCTTGTTTGCAGCCTTCAGTGACTAGATGAGCTAATGAGCCATCAGATTGGAGTTTGGTCTTGTAAATCCACTTGCACCCTAAAAGGTTCATATCAATAGTGGGTGGGACAAGGCACCAAGTGCCTTGAACTTGCTTGTAAGGCTTGAAACTCAAGAAACATGGCCTTCCTCCAATGTTTATACTTGTTGCTCGAGTAAAACAGGTGGGATCTGAATCTGTTAAAGAGCGTTGTCTGTCGAAAAATTTTGCAAAGCTTTAATGTCCAGTTTGTAACCTCGTTAGCATATGATGGCATGTGGGAAGCGGAGGTTGAGGAGAAGTAGAGGCACTGGCGCTTGATGCGATGTGACACAAAGCTTTTTGATAAGGCACAGGTAATGGACTGTTTTGTAAAGAAATTGTTGTAGAAGTTGATAAAGGTGATATGGTATGGCTTGAGACGTTGGGTTAAGTAGGAGGAACTAATAAGAGAGGTGGAATGTATTCAGATTTAGAGTTTGTTGAGGTTTTTGTCTAAGTGTGATAGGGAAAATGATCTTCATAAAAAATAACACGTCGAGAAATGTAAACACGCCCAGAGAGAGGATCAAGACTTTTGTAACCTTTATGGTGGACTGCATGGCCAATGAAAACTAATGCAGTGGAATCGACAAGTTTATTAGGGGAATATGGCGTTAACCAAGGATAAGAAAGGCATCAAAATATCTTAAGATGATTATAAGATTGAGGATTCTTGTATAAGATTTGAAAGGGAGAGATTATTTGTAGTTTTGGAAGGGAGATGGTTGATAAGGTATCTAGCCGTAAGCAGTGTATCAATCCCAAAGTGTGGAGGAAGATAAGCATCAATCATAAGTGTTTGGATTGTCTCAATTAAATGCCTATGTTTCCTCTCAGCAATACCATCTTGAGTAGGTATGCAAGGACAATTTTAATGTTTTGAGTAAATAGGTTGAATGCCTATTTCCTTTGCTTTCATTCCAATAAATAATAGTCTGTAAAATATATTTTAGGTACATGATAATACATATTCCTAATCTAGATATTCAGCTAAAAGGAAAGAATATGTACAATTAAAATAAGAAATTTAATGTAGCAATTTAAAGAAGGAAAATCTTAAATTTTTCCCGATTTAAGTTATTTTGATTGATATCTCCCTTCAAATTGATGTTAGCTGATCAAGAAGCATCAATTTGTCAACAATGAACTGATGACGTTGCCGAGAAAAAGTCTTAGTAAATATATCAGCCGTTTGAAGATCAGAAGAGATATGAGGAAGAGAAATAACACCATTATCATAGAATTCTCGAATAGAAGGACAGTCTACTTCAATGTGTTTCGTGCGCTCATGGAAGACAAGATTAGCAGTAATCTGGATAGCACTAGTATTATCTGCATAAAGAGAAGTAAACTCAAGTTGAGGAAAATCAAACTCAACCAACAAACTCTAAAGCCAAATGATCTCATGACAAGCAAAGGTCATGGCGGGATATTCAGAATGAGTAGATGATTCAGACATTCGATCTTGTTTCTTACTCTTCCAAGAAATTAAAGTGTTGTCGAGAAATATACACCAGCCAGTAATAGATCTATGTGTATGAAAACAAAACCCAATCAGCATCACTATAGGCTGTTAAGCGAGTAGGAGACTCCGCAGAAAAGAACAAGCCGTGATGAGAACTCCCTTTCAAATACCTAACAATCCGTCGAATTGCAGCCAAATGAAGATGTGTAGGTGTCTGCCTAAATTGACTAACTTGTTGCACATCAAATGAAATATCAGGGTGTGTGATGGTTAGATAATTGAGACTCTCAACAAGCTGTCGATACAGAGATGAATCGGATAGGAAGTCACAATCATTATGTTGATATTTAACATTCACTTTCAAAGGAGTACCCTGTTGGAGCCCAGCCAAAGCAATGAGTTCCTTAGTATAGTTATCTTGGTGAAGAAAAATACCAGCGGAAAACGAGTGAACCTCAAGGCCTAAGAAATATAAAGACCCCAAATCTTTTATATGAAAAGAACCCTGAAGACGCTTCTGTAACTGAGACATCAATTGAGTTTCAGATCTTGTGATGACAATATCATCAACGTAGACTAATAACAACACAATTCCTTTGTCAGTCTTGCAAAGAAATAATGAAGAATCATACTCACTTTTAATAAAAGAGAAGCTAAGAATAGTATTGCGAAACTTTTCAAATTAGGCCCGTGGAGCCTGTTTCAAACCGTATATAGATCGTTTGAGCTTACAAACGTTATGTGAGGGTGTAGAAAA